TCCACAACTTGTAATTCAACTGTCAAAAGTGTGTGTATGTGTAAGTTTGTGAAGTCACAGCATATAACCCTCATCTCACCTGCTTTCCTGGAGAACATGTTGACAGGAGGACCACCACTCGGGGGTGCGGCAGGCCCTACAGGGCCGGGCATCATGGGGAAGCCAGAGGGAGGCGGTGGAGGGGGTTTACTCTGATAGATTATAAGGAAACCATAACATCAGAACTGGTTGATCTATAAAGCTTTAAGTTGCTCAGTTTAGACAAGAAAATTCAGTCTGCCTAAAAAAGTATAATTCTGTGTAACATTACAGACCTCCTCTTCAGGCTCGTTCAAATCGACCCATTTCTGTTTCTGTTCATCCCACACAATCTGACAATAAAGAACATATTTGCCGTTAAATAGTACATTAACTAAACTTGTGAAAAAGATGTGACAATGAATACAGACGAATGCTAACATAACACCTGCACACACAAGAGCTATGACTTACAGATTTGTTTTTATCATCTGGCAAGTGAGCCTCATTCTTCCCTTTCCTATAGATCCAGCTTAGCCAGCTACCACCACCACCCTGCGTGAAAGAAAGGAATCCGCACTGATCACTAATGAACGCTGTAGGAGCACCAATTGGAGATCTGAATGCTCGTGTGAGTATGAACCTTTTTCGGGGAGTCCTTCTTGACTTTCTTGGGCTCCTCTTTGTGGGGCTGTTCAGGAATAGAGGGCGGAGGTGGAGAGACCTGTTTGACAGCCGAGTTGCTCCGCTCTCTTCCACCAGAGTGAGTGGAGGATTCAGAGGTGGTGCGCGAGCGACGTCCTGAAGGCTGTAGAACAGAAAATACTGGTCAGAAGAATATATACAGAGAGACAGCCTCATGTAGAACAAGCTTGTTTTTGGAGTGCCTTGACATGGACAAGCTTCCTGTATTAACTGCATGCAGCACAGCATTTACACTGCTTTGATAAACTGCTCTGTCCTATGGTATCCATTTAGAGGTTAAAGTGATGGGTCATTTGGGGCTGAAGACTACAAGTTTAAAAATGAATAGAATCTGTGGGTGTGGAGTTAGAAAAAAGTGAGCTTATCAGAACTCTGTAGCTCCACATCTCAGCTTGAGGTTTAAACCTACAATTGCCGCTACAGACAAACCACAGTCGAGTTATATAGTAATATGTAATAAGAAGTAATAAAAAAGTGTAAATGTTATCTCTGGTTTTGTTCTTCGATTTTGATTATTTGTCTATTTTACTGTTCATTGCGAGTCAAAAGATGTTAAAGAACTACAATGCTCAATTGACTTAGTACTGTTTGAACACTCAAACTGTAGAGTTTCAATTCATTTTCTGGAAACTTAAGCCAAGTTAAAATACCATGTATAATTAGCTGTGCAGCCCTATACTTTTTTTCCTGGGCACATAAACAACCTTCTCCATATCCGTTCTGAAAACAAGTGCAAAACCAAACAAGGCATGGACACATTAAACAGAAGAACCACCATCACATCACATATTTTAGCAGTTTGTATGTGAAACACAAACGTACCATATGCATTGAAGATTGTGAAGTAGTCCTTGATCTCCTCCCAGGACCCTGCAGCACCAGAAAAATACAACATAGTTTTCTGTTACATGTACCCAACACAACACAGCAAGTACACAGAGAATTGCTGAAATTATATATATTTTTTTTAGATATTCAAACATCTAGATAATGACCATGTGAGCCATTTGGTCATAGAAGTCCATCTTCGGTGTGAAGGAGCTTCTGGGTGGGGAGGATGATATTGGTTGACCAATGTTCATCTCTGGCGGGGCCTGGGACATTTGCTCCATGGGTGGCATATGCCCGGGAGAAGGGGGCATGTGCTGAGACATGTGCTGAGGCATGTGCTGAGGCATGTGTTGAGGCATGTGCTGAGGCATCTGGGGTGGCGGGTGATTCATCTGTACAGGTGAATGCGGCATCTGAGGGGTCATGTGTGGTGACATTTGGCTCGGCTGCTGATGGGCTCCTGGATACATTTCTGACTGCTCAGGTTGAGGCTGGAAGGGAGGAGGGGCAAAGCCAGGATCCTGTGGAGGGTAGCCTGAGATGGGGATCTGGCCTGGTGGTCCAGTGGGGGGCACTGGGTAGAACTGGGGCACATCATTGGAGGGTAAAGGCTGAGGAGGGGCCATGCCATCTTGGAGGATGGAGGTGGGAGCTGAGAAAATGTAGAAATGTAGAATGTAGAAATGTAGAAATGAGATCTGATGCATTTTGAATCTAGCTCACAGTAAAAAGGAGACCACAAGAGCACTATTACAACACATACACATTTACACACACACACA